CACATTTTAAACGAGATATATTTAATTTTACTATTTTGTAACTCTCTTATGATTCTCTAAAGCACTCATCAACTTTTCGTCGATTAAGATCTGGAATAAACGCTTTTATATAGCACTTACTTGCCTGTGCATTAATTAGCACAATGGTTTAAACCATTAATTATATAAGTTAATGTGCGCAATCTTAAGGCAACAATTCCCATTCCTTATTCGAATTAACAAGTTTTGAAAACAAAGCCAAGCCCCAAAGAACATGTTTTCTTCAAAGGCTTGGTTATCTTCAAGAAAACGCGTTTTCAAGCAGTGGAAACAATATTAGTTTATGCCTTTAAAGAGGACGGTTTAACAAATTTTTAAATTATTTATTTACACTTTAAGAACACAGATGCGTGCTTTTTTTATAAGCAAGTCTAGGAATTCTGGCTACGAGTTTTCTCCCAGCTCTCCTATGTGGTTTCTATTAAAAAAGTATTCGATAAAACTAAAATGTAGTCGCTGGGACACGACCTATGCGTTTTGGTTTCGAAATATCTGGTTACGTTTTGTCTATCAATTTCACTTGGATTCCCCTGCAATGATCTTGTACTTAAACAATCATTAGTAATAAATTTTGGCCTCGTGTTTAATGCTTGTGTCCATAGAAGTTTGCATAATGTTTCATATTATTTTTTATTTTGTTATGCGGTCTTAGGTACGGATCCAAACCGTTAATCCCTAAAAAGTTAGATATTGAGAGTTAATTTTCATAACATTGATGATAGTTTTTCAACTCAACTGCTTTTTTAATGTTCTTGCGGTCTAGATACGCCTTCAGTTAACTTACTCAAACACTATGTTTGCTTTATGATTTAAACAACTCTTGAATTTTTAGAAAACATGTATATCTTTATCAAATGAAGAATGAAAGTATTTAAACATAACTCTCTATCTTGTGAAAGCTCGGGTCAAATTCAATGCTGACATTCGCAGCAAATGCCAATGACCTATGATAAACGGCAGGTAGATAAGCGTTCGTTATTTCAGAGGTTGTGTGAAACTACTGTTAAAAACGACTCCCATGCAGTATTTCTTTGCACTAAGTCAAATACTCACAAGTAATAGGTAGATTTTAATTATTTTCTCAAGGTTGACTCTTCAGGGCATTTTAATAAATTTTTTGAGCTCCATGCTCCTAATTATATCACAAATATTCCGCACGGCACAACCACTCAGCGGTCGTTTTGTGCCCTTGGTCATCAAAAATTGTAAGAGATACGGCCAGGCAACCAGATCGAGATTATACTGCATTTATTATAATTTTTCGGTGTGATTCAGAAAATTTTTTTAACCATTTCCGTAGTAAGTAATGACAACTTGTCTTTTAGGAAAACGTTTTTTCTTATTTCTGTGATGACATGCTCCGTTTTTATACTTGTAGAGGACTGCTTGCGGTTTATTTATCATAGGCCATTTGCTGTTTCGTGTGAATTTAGTTTTACATAGAGTAAGTAAAGCAAGCGAAGTTGATGAAGACCAAGTAACCTATAGTTTTCGGTCAGTGACTAGTATTTTCTTGTAGGGAAGTTTATTCAGCTCAAGTCAAACTCATGAGAAGACATAACTGACATAAAATAATGATCTAAACGAGTTGCTCTGATCAGCAGATTTCTGTGTATTTATTTAATTTGTATGCATTTTACAAACATGGACGTATTTAAGCTTGATAACTCTGCACGGAACCACAGTTTTGTCTTAACTCCCAAATCTTTAAGTCTGGGTTGGGTGCCATAAGTGCTGGTGTAATATAGAGAAAGTTGGGCTACAACCGTTTGCTTTTTTCATTTTTTGGTTAACTGTATAGTGCAGCTTCTTAAGCCTACCTTCAAAAGGATAATTTACGCCGTTTGAAATTCCAATTAATTGTGTCAGTATGCAGAGTTAATTGACTGTTAAAAAAGAAATCTCCGAAAAATCCGCCTCTCGATTTTTGCGTTAAACCCCTTTTTGACTTGGCCAGATTACAATATATTATGGTCAATTCGCCAGGTAGTAAGTCATCTTTGGCAAAACTATTTAACTTTATTGTAGTCATTCCCACCTCAACCTTACGAAGTATTTTATTTCTTCTGCGGCCAGTGCGAAAAAGTTTGCACACAAAAGTAAATCGTAAATACTGGAATGACGCTAGGTGCCCCGTTTGTGCGTTAAAATATTTGCTACTTTACTTTGTTTCAGGGTCTAATAGAGGTGGCGCAGACCGCGAAGGCTCTAATCTCGATGAATGGATTCGATTGGGAACCAGCCAATCAAATCGGCCGCCATTTCTGGATGAACTGTTTTCATCGATACGCCGAGAAAAATGAACAACCTCCGTTGCCCTATGTCTCCGTAGTGCCTTGGGGTGACATAACTGACCGACATCAGATTTCACAGAAGGTTAATTTCGCCTTATCTTAATTTACGTCTCAAACCAAGTGTGACTTAATGGTTAAATTGTGCAATGCCTGTTTTAAAACTGGGACATTTTTGGCTTGAGTTAGAGTATGGCTAAGTATGGACTGCAAGAAAGCTACAAAGTGACCTTTTTCACTTTCGGCAGTAGTACAATTCTGCATTAACTTTTTTATTGCGTGTTGTGTGCGACATCATGTCAATAAGATGGCCCCTTGTCTTGTCTAAACAAATATAACAGTAAGTAGCAGTACGCAGTGTAAAGCGAAATGTACTTCAAGAGCACGCCGAGAGGGAATCGTTTTGTTAAGGAATCTATGCATTCGGCTCGTTTTGCACCTAATTTCTCCTCACGAACAGTTGGTAAAATTCATGCAGTACGCGCTTTGGGGATACAGTTTGACCATTCACGTTCGTTGATTCTTTGGTACAATTGATCTTATTTTCCACGTACATGTTTATTTAAAAAAATAATTTCGGCAACAATTTTGAGGAAAATATATTTTACTTCCGAATTCTAGCTGAAATATAATTTCTATATCACATTTCCACAGATGGGATCACCAAATAGCTTGACCATTCTCAAGTCTCACCGTGCTATAAGACCAGCAAAAAACGCAGGACACACTAGCAGATGGAGAGAGCATTCGGAGGATACGTTTTAAAATGACCAGATCTTTTTTAAAACAGGACTTGAAAAATAACTGGAGAGCCGTAAAGAATGAGGAAGCGAATGCAAACATCTCTAAATCGCTAGATTAGGGCTTGCGGTGTGCGATGTGAACGTAAACAGCGACTATAACATAAAAATTTATGGATTTTAATAAAAAATAATGCATATTCAATATATACGTTTTCAACACAATTAAAGACTGTATGGGCATGGGTTAACATTAGGTCAGCCTATTTGCCAGGTTCTTATAGCCGTTTGATCAGTTAAATGCCTGTGTTACGTTGAAGCCACATGATCTTTTTGAAATGCTTGGCATTGGAGCTAACCCAAGGTTTTCCCAAGATTGTGATACACCGATCGCACTTGAAAGTTCTCTCGTATGCAATAAAAAATCGCTGAAGCTGCCATTTCGAAACTCTATGACAGCAGCGTTTGGCCCTCCTAATTGTCAGACATGTCCAAGCAATCCGCCCGTGTTGCCTTGTCGGTAACAGAGATCTCACCTAGAAGGAAGGAAAACCTGCTTAAGTTTCTTCCAAACGTCTTTGGTAACCGCTTTTACCATGCTCAGTAGACAAAATTTGGCCCATCCGCCTTAAACGCCCGGTCCTACTCGAGTTTACAGCAAGTCACAAAAAATGTATAAGGTTCTAGAAAGTGTTTTTCTTTTAAATGCCTTTCTTTTCTGGGCTTGCGTAAGGCTGCTGCCATTATCTGTCCAAAGAAGCGTACCTTATCCCATTTTCAGCTTTATTTGATTTATTTCGCATATGCCTGGTCCGCACTGCACTCAAAGTGCCGAAGCCCAATTGGGTAAAAATTTCGTTTTAATGTCAATCAACACCCATAGCGCGCTTGAAGATGAATGGCCTTTACTTATGTCATCATTTTTTTCCTGTTTGTTCGTTTGTATCGATCTATGGCGATGTAGTAAAACTTGTTTTTTGCTTCATGTACATGTCACGTGTTATGATCTTGTGTGATCACCTGCATTGCCACTTGTTTTGGTCTCCCGCTTGTACGTGTGAAATAGAAGACAGGCAGGATAGAAGAGATTGCCAATAAAAGCAAACATGCGAGTCCCAGGAGGTAACTGAGAAGAAGTCGACTCGATCGCTGGGACAATAGCTTTATTCGCCTAACGTTTCGAGATCCGTCGCGGATTCGTCATCAGAGGCATAATCAGAGAGCAATAGCAGATGCGGGTAGCGTATGCACAGAAGTTCGCAGTATTTATGGGATACAGTAATTACTGCAAACATTCAACGACAATCAACGGTAATTGCCCTCTTGAGTGCTGGTGGTCTGTTGAACAGCATGCGCGCTGAAGTTTCATCACGCATGGTGGACTCGGGCGTGATGGTTGCTCGGCTATCTGGCCCTGCGGTGTTGGCGTAAGATGTAGCGGTGGCCTGTCCGTTCTCCAAGTGGCGACTTGCTTTGGCCAAATTAAGTCTCAGCACCGAATATGAATTTGGCAAATCGTTGCACTTGTTTTAATGCATTGGGGCTCGTGAACCATGAATCAAGTAATTCTCAGCTCACCCAATTGTAACCTCTTGCGAGAATTTCGGCCTCATCAAATTTGAACGTGTGGCCGGGTCTCGTCAAATAGCGAGAATTTCGGCCTCATCAAATTTGAATTGTGTAGGCCGGGTCTCGTCGAATGAGCGCAACTTGAGAATTGGCATCGTTTCGCCGCACTGCTCCGGGTCTCGTCGAATGAGCCGCAACTTGAGAATTGGCATAATTTCGCCGCAGTGCTGCCGCGTGTTCGGCAATTTGCGTCTTCAGAAGTCTGTTAGTTTCTCCGACATAATTGCTTTGCCTGAAACTGCACCAGATCCTGTAGACAATTCCAGACGTTTGTTGCCGTGGCAGTGGGTCTTTCGGTTTCATTAAGTGACGCCTTATGGTTGCCTCCAGCATGTTTGCGACTCCAACTCCAAGTGGTGCGAGAAGAGAAGAGAACAGTCTATTTGTGTACATCAGCTTCGCCGAGTGTGCTTCAACTTCTCTGCGTGGACAGCAAGTCGCCTGAGTGTGCGTCAGGTCATCCTCGTCTGCAGCAAGTCCCGCAGACAAGCGGCCTTTGTCCGCTTTCTCTCTTCTGATTTGTTCATGCGCGATATGCCTACTAGGGCGCGCACATGGCCCTTTATGCCTGCGCACTTTCGTGTGTGGCAGTTTCTTTGTCTTGTTCTGACCCCGGGACGGCAAGCGTACTGACTCGTGTTCTGTGCCGTCCTACCATCATGCAGTTGGGAGTTCTGAGAGTGCCCGGGCTATTTCATCGCCGGCGTATTAGTTTACCATTTTATCTTTTTGGCTTCTTCCACTTGCGCTCTCTATTCTACAGGGTGTCCCAAAAATATACACATTTTAAATGATTGTAACCTTGGTTCTCGTGATAGTTTTATCATTTAAAAAATTTAAAACATTTAGAGGTATCATTTTATTGTTTTTTTCACTGAATGTTCTGATACTGACGTCCATTTTGACCCTGACACTGTTGACAACGCGAAGCAATGGAATTGCACGCAGCATGAAACAATTCCCTCGCTATTGGGGCGCTTCAATGTTACATGGCTTCTCTCAATTCATTTATATAAAATATAATCAAAATGCAGTGAAATGACAATGAAAAAAGATACTTGTTAATATTAATATGTGAAAAAATTCGAGGTCCAGATAAAATATTCCTTTCATCATCCATGGAAGAGGAAGAAGAGACAATTTCTGGGACCAAGGCGTATTTTGGCTGACGTTTCAAAAACGCGCTCGCTTACATCGTCAGATCAAGGTGTCTGTACTCCTGTTCGTGTCAGATGAATGCGTCTGACCATTAGCCTTCTGCGGAGCGCTTGGTAGGCGGGATGAAGGTCCAAGGCTCTGTTTAGTGCAGCAGTCGAGGACCAACTGTTTAGCAGCAATCTGGCCATCTTGTCGTTGGCTCGACCTATTAACCTTGCTTTTTTCAAAGGCGAATGAGTGGTCCTTTTGCTTTGCGTAGTCATAGGCCAAAGACAGCCTAACAAGCGCTCCGCAGAAGGCTAACATCGGCTCAGAACGGAGCAATAGGTTAGGCAAAGAGAGATAAGTAGGGCCGACAGCCGTGAGCAAAGAGGGTGAAAATGCTCATGAGACACAAAAACAACTTGACATAGCTCATGAAGACGCCCGTGAGGGCACGAGCAATTCAAACAGTTACAAAAATCGATCGGTTCAATCGATCGACAAGGCTAATGGTCAGATGCATTCATCTGACGCGAACAGGAGTACAGACACCACTATCTGACGATGGAAGCGAGCACGCTTTTGAAACGTCAGCCAAAAATACACCTTGGTCTCAGAAATCGTCTCTTCTGGGGAGGATGAAAAGAATATTTGTGAATATTTATATATTTTTGAAACTATAATTTATAATAAACACCAAGTGTATAATTATTTCAAATGGGAACATGTTTTTGAAACACCCTGCTTTTGAGATTTTGCATACTTCTACACATGTGCGCCTAGTGTGTACAGAACCGTACTTTGTGAACAGTTTCAAGCATGTTTGAAAAGATCTAACGTTTCAAGGAAAGACTTTCTTTGGGACATAAGGCCACTTTATTCATTGAATTTTCGACGCTGGATCCCCATGCATTCATGCATCAACCGACACATCGAATTGGGTGGTGTTTATAAAAATTTAAAGAAAGATGGAAGACACGACAGCCGATCACTAAGGACTAACGTGAACAGCAACTGCTAATCATCGCCCACACTGGCTGACTATGAATTTTCCACCCTAGACTGACGTAAATTACAGCTGACAATTAGTAATTACGCTATTATGACTACTAATGTTGTCAACCATGGACTGACGCAAATTGCAGTTGCCAATTAGCGTTCAAACCAGATGACTTTATTGTTATACTAGCATTTTTGAAATTTTTATTGTTCGTTGCATATGTTATCAAGTCTGACGATGACCTGGGGATCCAGTGTCGAAAATTTACTGAATACAGTTACCTTATGTCCAAAGAATGTCTTTCCTTAAAAGTACATTTCTTGGGATGCCTGCCTGTCAATTTATACCGAAGGTCTGATGTTATCCACACCTGAGTAAAAATTAAGGTACCGCTTATGCAGTTTTGTCTGCAAGCGTTTAATTGATACACAAGTTACTATCTGGCGTATGCTTGCTGAAATAAAACCTGCAATGCAATAATCTAAATCATCTTAACCATGACATCGCAGAAATGCGAGTGAAGGCAGCTTTAAGATAGTTAAGGGAAGAAAACGTTGTTTTATTCAAATGTGACTTCGTCAGATGACCACGTTCTGAAGGTGACTTCTCTTCATGCCATTGGTCACCTGTTTCCGGATTTATTCACAGTCCCAGGTGTTTTTGCAGGTTTGCATATTTCAACTTCTTAAGTTGTGCAAGACTTGGCGCCTCAGCGAGGTTCAATATCACAACAAGAGATCCAATTCTGTGCACAAGCTTTGCACTTTCTGTCAGGGATCCAAACTCCCCTGCGTTCGTCGAATGTTTAACATGGGTTTAAATTCCCTTACTATCGTCAGTCGGCAGTAATTCGTCTGAACGAGGCTCACGGCTTTTTGAACATAACCAGTCAATTCGGGATAGGAAACTGTTCTCCACGAAGCTACGGGGTCATTTGCTCCATATATCGCCTACTGTAATCGTTAAACTAGGTCTGATAATATTTTGTCCAAACGCCCTTATTGTGTCAAGATCTGAGCTTCAGAAGCCTATTTCATAAAGAGGTCTACGTACCAATGAGCCATGGTGCCTTCCCGAAAAGCCATTACTAGGTTGGGGGTTCACAAAATAATCCGGCCATTTAGAATATAACTATTTAAAGACTGAATGACACAATATAAGCTTCAGTCCATTATATTAGTAATTGATGACCCGAAGTTTTTCAAGTCGAAAGCACAGTCCATCATACAGTGAAATCTTCGAAATTCTGGGTCTTCACTATACAATCACCTGCAGGCTTATATAAACCGCTGAAAACAAAAAGCTTGAAGAGGGAGTTTTCTCATTTACAGCCGTTACAGGGCCACGAGCATTAGTGCATCTAGGGCCTATGGCCAGAAGTGCAGACGAATTGAGTCATGCGCGCAGACAAACAGCGTGCGTTAGCGACCCTTCATACAGCGTGGAAACTATTGATCAGTGTGCATACGTGACGACTGCTCACACAGCCTGGCGAATTATCGATCAGCGTGAAACCATAACGACCGTCCACACAGCGTGGGAAACTATCGATTAGCACGAAGGGCAGACCACCGGTCGCACACCATAGGCCAGGACTGTTCCAGAACGAGTAAAACCTTTCAAGTACGCCAGAGTGGACAAGCTGGAAAATCCGTTGTCTTTATGTTGTCCTGAAAAAGCCCTTGCCACCAGAATCGACTCTTTGCCTTTTTTTCTGCCTTCTCCTTGTATTTACAAAATCAGCTAAATAACTCTTTCTACTCTTGGCACATATTGCAGGCCAACGTGGTGGATTATGCACCAAATACCCTGGATGGCATGTTGCCGTCACTTAGCCGATATCAACGCCTCTTTCTCATGGTGGATGATGGGCTTCGTTTCTGCCACGCGGACAGCAAGTGTGATTCCTTTAGAGTGGCTTTTGAAAAAGCCATTGAACAACTGGCTAAAGGTGAGCGTCTCGCAATTCTTACACCTTTTAGATTACTACTTTCGTTTAAAGCATCTTTTCCCTGGTGAAATTTTGAAGATTGCATAAACGGCAGAATTTATGGAAAACATAAATGTCGAGAGTGCTCATTAGCTGCTTCCCCTCGTTGCATAACGTGAATTACGTAAAAAAATACAAAATTGAATTTGCACAGGAAAATCGATACAAACAGCAAGGCCATAGAAAATGTCCGCGAAGGCCAATCAATAACGTAAGCAAGTTAAAACGCTATGGAAATCAAAAGTGGGGATAAAACATTCAATGAAAAATGTTGAGCAGGGAAGTGTGTTATCAGGAAGATGGATGTTACTACGGCAAAGTTAGGTCCACCACGTGCTCCAGCTGTTTACGTAGGTCGGGTTTAAACCGCCGTATATAGGCTGCCTCCAGGTAGCCCGAACAAGTAATGAGAAAGAAGTTTGTCGGTCCACTGAATGACCCGCATCTAGCAAATGTTCAGTAATGGATGAACGGGGAGTCCTATTTTCTTGTTTCAATAGCCGACTAGGCAAGTGCTCTTTGGCTCTGGCTGCCAATTGCCGTTGCGCTTGCCCTATGTACTTGCATCAGAAAGTGTCTGTAAATTCTAAACACAAGTTGAAGTGGCGTGCCCCGGCAAGGCATCTTTCGCATATAGAATTGGTAGGGGTCTTGTTGGATTGCAGAATGTGAGTTCAGCCGCAAAAATGTGTCCTTTTAATGGTTTACGTAAGCGTATCTTGACAGTATTTAAAATGTTGTCGCCCTTAAAGGGCAAAAATATGTAAGCAGGCTTTTTCAGAACTGGCTTTTCCGTCCTTTTAGGCCTTAAGGGGTTTGCTATGCTTGTCGATAAACTATGCTGGATATCCACATTTGAGTAAATTTTCTTTGAGGTTACTTCCCGCTTGCAAATATATTGGCGCGTTTGGAATTTGCGTTGCGCCATCCGATGTTAGCTTAATAATACAGTTTAATTGTCAACGCAAAAGTTCGGGTGGAATGACAGCTCTCGTTACTTTTGAGAATCATAATTACCCTGAGTTGCCTAAATTTATCTTTACCTTATTTTAGCCACGGCTTCTGTATGACTTTTCATTTGCTTTCTGAAATTTAGCTCCTTCAGAGATACGATAGTAAGAGCGCGAGTATTAGTCATGCATAAGTGCCTACTTTGAACTCCTTCAGCTGGCTACTCTATCTTTGCTATTTCAGGTAAAGACAACAACGTGCGATCGAGTGTGGCTGTGCTGATTGGAGGTGACTTGACGTGCCTACTAGCGGTTGAGAGGCGTCTCAGTGCGGACATTCCAGTTGTGATCTGTACTGGCACTGGCGGCCTGGCAGACGTGCTGGCCTATGTGAAACGCAGCGGGCTGGATAGCGAGACAGGGCAAGTTCCCCTCAATTGAATTTTAGGTCACCCGATGGAATCCCAGTTTAGGTCTCAGCAATTATTTAAATAATATGTTTTTGTAACAGAATAGTGCGCCATAAATAAACACGGAAATCTACTTACATTTCCTATTCACGTATAATTTATTGGGTTTGACCACTTTGGACATTTTTTAATTTCTTTTACTTTATAGTTTATTAGGTTTTCTGATATGCCTGAAAAGCATTTTGTGGTTAGGAGGTCATCTATTTCAAATTACCTGAAGTCCAACTTACCATTCTGGAGTTAGATTAGTATAGTTCACAGTGTGAAGCGCGGAGCACATCTTAAATTTACACGCACAACAAATTTATGTTAGTTTATTTTATTTATGTCATTTGGTTGATTTAACTTATTTATGTTTAATTTCGGCTTATCTGAAAACCTAAATTATTTTTCCCCGATATCAATTTGAAGTAAGCCAAAATAGCAGAATCTTCTTGCGCAAATAAATTTCGAGAGCGCTTATCAGCTGCTTTCGCTCTGTGCATGAATAACGAAATATTTAGAGAACACATCAATTTGAATTTACACAAAATCCACAAAAGCAAGGTTGTGTTAACGTGGCAAATGGTCAATAATTATGTAAAATTTTAAACTTGGGACCAAAAGTAGGGAGGGGATTTAACAAAATAAAAGTGTGGTATGTATTTACCATCGCAATTGAAGATTAACTAAATGGTCTAGTTGCTTACATAGGTCGGGTTTCTCCCACCGTATGTAGGACGCTTCCATGTAACGTAAGGTCCGGCTTGTTCGTGCTCGAACAAGAACGCGGAAAGATGTCTTAGTGTCAACGAAGTGACCAATGTCTAATAGGTGTTTTGTAATAGATGACCGTGGTACTTTGTTCTCTTGTTTTAAAAGCCAAGCAGGCAAGTTTTCAACAGCCCTGGTTGCCAATTGCCTTTGCGTACGGCTTACTTTAGTTGAGGTTTTTAGTTAGTCGATTTTAGTGTTGGTCGGTTGCTTTTTAATTTATTCACTTCTCTATACTTGCATAATCGCATATTTTAATTATCGTATGCTTTTTTGTTGACAAACATTGACGCACTGAAAGAATTATTCTTTTTTTATTTTTTTTAACCTTATTTTTTATTGATATTTCTTTTCCTTTCCTTTGTGTTGCCAAGAATGCATACTCTTTCAAGTTTGAAAAAGTAAGAATTCCGGGCTTAGGATCATCGATCATTTGCGCTCACCGGAATGTGTTTCTTTTTCTGCTGACCTTTCGGACAGCTGGGCCGGCTGTCTTTCTCAAAGCGAGAACTGACTTTATCGATCGGCAATTCAGAGTTGCGGCTGTCCGTGTTAGCCGTAGGCTGATCGATTTTTACGCTCGCTTTCTAGCCCTGCGCGTGTATTTTGGCGTAATTTGACGGCAGTTAGTGTTTTGTTCCGTCCCCACGGTAGAGGATGCTGGTAATCCTGCTCCCTTTACCGGTGGTTTCATCACGCGGCCGTCTTTCTTTGCAAATACTAGGTTCGGTTTGACCAGGTTCTGTCTTTTACTAACGTGATGGCGTAGGACAGCAGTCACCCTCTGGCTCACAAACGTAGCTGCGTTCGTACTCTTTTCCAAAGAGTTTAAAAACATTGCAACACACCAGCTGGCAAAAGAGCGTAACAACAGTGCCTACGTGATGTTTTTCGAGCTAATGGATACCCTAATTCTTTTATTAAGCAAAGCAAGCGCCGAGTGAATAGGCGACGGGCAACAGAACAGCAACCCGAACGCTGGAGGGCCATTGCCTACATAAAAGGAGTCTCCGAAGCATTTTCTTGACTGCTACAACTCGCTGGAGCAGGCAAAGCCCATCGACCTCAGGCAACAATTGCCACCGAGTGATGCAACCTAAAGACAGACTGCCCCCTACTGAAACCTCTGCAGTTGTCTACAAAATATGTTGAAACGGTGGGCTCTGTAGCTTAGTTGGAGAAACATAGCGCAAATTGCAGACCCGCCTATAAGAACGCAAAGTGGCAGCCCGGAAACTTGACCCAAACTCGCAGCTTGCAACCCTTATCGGAGAGGCTGGCCACAACTTCAATATTCAAGGGGCGACCATTGTAGGCCGGGAGCCTCAAAAGCTGAAAGAATGAAGCTTAGGGCATGGCACTCAGACGCCAACTCGTTCAACAGGCATCTGGACCTCCCCACGACCTACAAAGTCCTACGCCATTACATTAGTAAAGGACAGGATCTGGTCAAAGCGAACCTAGGATTTGAAAACAAAGACGGCCCCGTGACGAAACCGTCGGTAGAGGGAGCAGGATTACCAGCATCCTCTACCGTGGGGAGGAACAAAACACTAACTGCCGTCAAATTACGCCAAAATACACGCGCAGGGCTAAAAAACGAGCGTAAAAAATCGATCAGCCTACCGCTAACACGGACAGCCGCAACTCTGAATTGCCGATCGATAAAGTCAGTTCTCGCTTTGAGAAAGACAGCCGGTCTAGCTGTCCGAAACGTCAGCAGAAAAAGAAACAAATTCCGGTGAGCGAAGATAATCTACGTGTACTCCTTATTTCACCCGGTTCTGCCTTACAGCAGGTTATGACTTTCGCGTGCTGTTCTGGGATCTACTCTAGGATTCTACCAGCCACCCTAAACCTCATTTCCTATTGGCCTGCTAGCACGCGCTTTCTTCTCTGTTTTGCTAATAGGTCTACAGCCTTCATGGGAAAACTGAAACAGCGACTGTTTTTACAACTCCGAGAACTTGAAGTTCCTGAATCGGGTTTAGAAGATGCAGCTAGCAGAGTCAGGCAACTTGTCTCATCTGATAATATGTTGACATTCTGGGACTCAAGTTCGGGAGAGTCTTTAACGGATGCGGTTGTCTGCAGTCTGACCAAGTGTACTCCAGATGGCCGGGCGCTGTTCAATCTAGCCGTGGTGTGGAGTCGAGCTGATTTGCTGATGTCAACTCTTGAAGCCCACCCAAAGGCAATGAGTCAGGGTAAGCCGAAAAGTATTGAAAATTCAATTCCCAGGTGGTTAGACAGAAGAAGGAACAGCGTTCACCGAGAGAGGTGTATTTTATATCTGACCTTTCGGGAGTTGTCTCCTCTAGCCATCTTTGCAGAATGAATACTCCGGCTCCTGGTTCTCATTTTTATGCCGTTCTTAGTCTGTATGTGACCTGGGATAACTTAAAAAGGGACAGTACGGGCGTTCCAATAACCGGAATCATAATTTTATGCGTCTGGGCATTTGGGCTGTTACTGGAGTCCATTGTCAGAGATAAAAACGTCAACGAAAACAACAAGCTACAGTTATAGGGGGGCAGGGGCCATTAAACCATTAAAGGGGGAAGGGGCCAATTAAATACCAATTTTTATGACGACGGGTTCAGCGTCGCTAGTGTTATAACGATGACAGCTGACGTGTGTCACTGTCGAATTACGCCCTGTTGAAATCCCCAAAGAAGAACACAATAAGAAAGGCATAATGCTGGAATCCACCCGGAGGAGGGTTTATTTTGTAAAAAACCCTGGGGAGCTGTCTCGGGTGGCTGTTGCCGCTGGTTGATCTCCAGCGTGCTCTTTGTCC